CAAAAAAAAAAAAATACCAAAAATTGCGGAATCGTTTGCAGGTTTTGCAATTGCCATGCAAAAAATTGTCAGAGTATTATTTTTTTGTAAAAAAAATAAAATGTAGTACGTCCTGCGAGAATCTAATAAAACTATTATTTCGCCTCAACGGTAGAGTTTCTACTATTAAAATTATCACCAGTCGTTTGCAATTTAATTTCCAGTGCATGTGAGGATCGCAAAATAGTCGAATTAGTTATATTTATTGAATAAATAATTATATTTATATACGAGAGTAAGTCGAGTCATCTTACTCCCACCCCAGGCCAGGGCGCATGCGCACTACACTCGAAATACCAGCGATGGGATATAGTTCCGGACAGATTTGGGAATTCTCTAGGACCCAACCTCTCTGACGTGGGAAATCACTAGATCAAAAAAAAATAGTACAGAAGGTTACGCGCGAGATTCAAATAAGGTCCAATAACACAAGCATCCATCAACTGATGACCCAGTGTGCTTGCTGGCCACTCTGTTAAATAAATAATTATTAATAACACAAGCGCCTATTACCTCATGACCCGGGGCGCTTACTGGCCACTCTGTTAAACAAATAATTATTAATAAATAACACAAGCGCCTATCAACTGATAACCCGGGGCGCTTACTGGCCACTCTGTTAAATAAATAATTATTAACAACACAAGCGCCTATCACCTGATGACCCGGGGTACTTACTGGCTACTATTGAATAATAAATTATCAAGTAATTACAAGAGCGCCAATTAAAAAGATCTTTGTCGTACTAGATAGGCAATCAAAATTGTAATATGGTTAATATGTTATCGATCAACTTTTTATTATTTAATAGTGTTGCAAACAAGTGTCCTGGATCATCAGGAAAAAGGTGCTTAACATATTTATGAATAATTATTTATTTACTAGATTTGGAATTAGCGCCTCAGGTTATACGGTGATAGGCGCTTGTGTTATTAATAATTATTTATTTAACAAAGTGGCCAGTAAGCGCCTTGGGTCATGAGGTGATAGGCGCTTGTGTTGTTAATAATTATTTAATTAACAGTGGCCAGTAAGCGCCCCGGGTCATTAGGTGATAGGCGCTTGTGTTATTAATAATTATTTATTTAACAGTGGCCAGTAAGCACCCCGGGTCATTAGGTGATAGGCGCTTGTGTTATTAATAATTATTTATTTAACAGTGGCCAGTAAGCACACTGGGTCATCAGTTAATGGATGCTTGTGTTATTGGACCTTATTTGAATCTCGCGCGTCACCTTCGGTACTATTTTTTTTTTGATCTAGTGATTTCCCACGCCAGAGAGGTTGGATCCTAGAGAATTCCCAAATCTGTTCGGAACTATATCCCATCGCTGGTATTTCGAGTGTAGTGCGCATGCGCCCTGGCCTGGGGTGGGAGTAAGATGACTCAACTTCCTCTCGTACATAAATATAATTATTTATCCAATAAATATAACTAATTTGACTATTTTGCGATCCTCACACGCACTGGAAATTAAATTGCAAACGAATGGTGATAATTTTAATAGTAGAAACTCTACCGTTGAGGCAAAATAATAGTTTTATTAGATTCTCGCAGGACGTACCACATTTTATTTTTTTTACAAAAAAATATTACTCTGACAATTTTTTGCATGGCAATTGCAAAACCTGCAAACGATTCCGCAATTTTTGGTATTTTTTTTTTTGCTGGATGCAAGTCGTTCGCACAGTTCACTGTGCTAGGCCAGCAGCCGAGGCCCGTTCCGCGCGCGAGCGCATTACCTGTTATTTCGTGCAGCGCGCCTAGCCTACCGGTTGTGCAATTGTCGTTGTTGTTGATGGTTTCGTACTAGGAAAGTGATTTGGTCATGTGAAACTTTTGTAGAGAATAGAAATTTTGCGTCGCAGGCGTTCGATAAACCAAACGGTTCGGGCATTGGAAGTTTCTAGGAAAATCGTTTTCGATCTGGTACTTGCACTCCTATACGTTCAGGAAGGATGAGAAAAACAATAACGGAGTCGAAGACACTTTTTTTTTTATTATTATACGACCGTTTATTTTTTTAATCGTCGATCGTATCTAGAATTCTAGAATACAAATACATAATAATCTTGTATTCGCAGANGAAAAAAAAAAAAAAATCAAAAAAAGGAAATAAAAAAAATATACAAATTAAAAGAAACAAACCCGGTTGTATAAATGGGTTATAGAACCCGCGATAACAACGATAACAACGAAGTTCGTTTAACATGAGATTAATATAAAGACACACAATTTCTCAGGTAACAAAAGGGTCGCCAGACCCATAGGAAGAACGAAGCTTTATAAAAATAAGGACTGCATTCATGTGGTTCCCTTGAAAAGCAAATAATAAAAAAATAAAAAAATTTAGTTCAGTACTCACGATAGTTGAACTTCGTGAGTACGTCATGCATTAATACAGTACTTTTTTTTCTTAATCATACGAAAATGTTACTTTTTCGTTCATCTATAATTTACTTTTGTCCACACATATATGGGCAACAGGGGGACAATTACATATATTTATATAAATGGGTCAATACTTAATCGTAAGATTGATTGACGGTAAATACTTTTTGTTACCTTATCATAGATTACTTACAAATAAAATGAATGCTAATGTGTGAATATATGTGTATGTTTTCTTTTTATTTTTTTTTTTTTAGTACAATGACACGCAGCTATTTCAAACTCTCATTAGACGTAGCTTACAAAAATGGGTTTTTTTTTCTTGTAATTTGTTTTTATCAGACGATGATTCCCAAAAATGTATCATTCGTTATAGATACCCTAAAATTGAGGTAATACAATTATTTTTTAGGGCTTAATGGATTGCATCATATAACTTTGGTAATCATCGTCGAGAATTTGAAATAGCTTTTCGTATACGAACGTGTGTAGATCTGACGAGTTAGGCTTTTGTCGTAATTTACTCGTATGCAAGCGTTGTCGTACTTTTTCTTCTTCATCATTGTTATTATTATTATTAATTATTTGTTTATCTATTTGTATACTTTTTGTGTCTGTACGCAGTGCTTATCCTAAAATCATTTTTATTCCTAAAGAAAAAGCTCGTTTAGTAATAACTAAGACAATAACTATAAAAAAAAATAAAAAAGAATTTTTTAATTGCATGATTACGCGGCCTTGCACGTGTTTGTAAAGGGGCGAGAGGGACCACAAGTCAAATACCTCGAATTTTCCTTTCATCATCATGTATACTGAGATTGCATAACATCGATGGAATAAAAAACAACACGTTATATACTCTTCAATGTATGTATACGCGACAGAATGTGTTTATCTTTTTTTCTCTCTTTTTGTTTTTTTGTTTTTTTGTTTTTTTTTTTTCATTTTCTATGAATTCCAATAAAAATTTCTTGCGTGGGATTTTCAATTTTGCTCTCGTGCTCTCTTCTCACTCACGGTCTCACAGATCCGTATCATACCACGCATCCGCGACCGAACTATCCTGGGGCGGCGCGGGAAGCTCCTCCAGATGATCGAAACTCGTGTCCATTGGCCCGTACGTCGAGCCACCGCCGCCAATCTCCAGGCCCTGCATCGAATCTACTGGTATCTGGTCATAACCTGAGAAATAAAAAAGAGCGGAAAAATAAATTAGTGATTTTTCCCCATAGTCCACGGTATCACGTTCTTTTCTAGATCTTAGATTTTTTTTCTAATATTCTGCAAAAAATAAGAGTGTGAATATATACAAATGTATAAAAATGTGAGTACACAAAAACCAATAAATACGTGGATATTAATTTGGTTTTTTTTTTTAATCGTCTTGCAGAATTTTTTTTCATTCACATTAATTTTCTTCCGTTTGAATCACATTTTGTAAATTTCTTTCAAAGTAAGTATACTGTCTAATTTTTCCTAGTCTATGTTTCACTAGCGCTAAAGCCACTGTTTGATGCTTCATATGGCGGTGAATTTATAGCAGGGACATTAAAAAACATACTTTTTTCAATTATAGTACAAATTAAAAATGTGCTATGGTTAAATATTACTCAAACCATAGAGCAAGATTGAGTTAAGCTTTAGAGCAATACTTAAAAAATTAGTATATTTTATACTATCTCCCTTATAAAATACTTTTTGCATGACGCCACTGAAAATTTTTTCGTCCCTGTGCGTATATATACACTGAGATGTAAAGTTCACTTTGACGCGGAGCTTTTGCAAAACGACTACATAAGTATTCGTGATCATCTTCTTGAAAAACATCAAAGTTTCCGATATCACCGTCCGTGGGTGATCTTGATCTCGCTTCGATATTCTTGACTTTTCGTCAAAAAATACCTCCCAAGTATTAGTTTTGTCAATCATGTGAGGCCCATTAAGTAAACAATTTTCGTGTGAAAATACTCGGCTCCGCGTTACAAGTAATTTGGCTCAGCTTAGCACATAATTGTTTGCTGTACATCACTGTGAATTTGCTACGCCCCTTGTAATCGCCCTAAATATTAACTACGTCATTTAGCGACTAACGTTATTACTAAAGTAAGCGATACAACGTGGGCTGTATGTGAATGCATTGATAAGATGCTCCCGACGAATGATATAAAATCCGCCTTTTATTCAAGAGCCGCAAGAGATTTTTTATTTTCCGAGGATGCGTGGATTTTTTTAAAATTACTGATGCTCTGCTTGTAAAAGAGAAAGAAAAACTGGCTCTCATGTGATCGACGAATCTATACTGTCGAGATAACATTTGCGGAGGGCAAACATCAGTGAACTAAACTGTCTATTTATTGTTATATTTCCTCGTCTGAATAGCATGTGAATCAAATATTATAAAATATACTAATTTTATTAGCTCTGAATCAACATTACTATATTTTAATGTTTAAAACGATTTTGGACCGTATTCGATATTTCAGCAAAAGTTTCAACCTTACCTACTTATATACAAGTTATTTTATTGTTTATCGTGAATTATCGTTGTGATTGTTATTGCAGCTCGTAGTACAATAAAATTATTACGAAAAGAGAGAGAAGACATTTCAGTTCTTCGGTGTGACTTTCCTCTTTTCAATTTGAAACTGATATAAGTACGGTTAAATTTATCATAATAACTGGTACGTCTATCTTTTCTCGCTTGAAAAATCGTTTTTCTAGATTAAAACTTGATTTATTAAACAGAAACTTATTTTACCGATAAGATGTTTTTTAGTGATATCGTTGTTATCTCATGAACTTTAAGAATACAATTAACAGTTACAACGTAGAGTCAGACTACATCATCGAAAAGTTTCGAGAAAAATATTTGATGACAGCTAAAAAAAGTTATCTTGGCAAAAGTTCTTAAATTTCAAGTTAAAATCATTTTGGTGAATAGCTAACGATGTGCTATGATTGATAACAAGAATTAGTAAAGTGTAGATTTAAGACTAAAAATAAAGTTTAATAACTTTCATTACTAGTTGTTGTTTTTTATTAGTATTAAATTGATAAACATAAAAACTGAAGTCAATCACGTTCCTATTCGCAATAATTTTTTATTTATTAATTTTTTTTCTTTTTATTTATTTATTCATTTTTTTTTTTTTCGTGATGTAGTTCTGTTGATACTTTAATTACCGTTGAAATATCGATGAAACTCCACAAGCTACTTTAACGTAAAATCACAAATTGTGAGTAAGTATTGTAAAGCTGTAAGGTATCTGAGAAACAATTTTTTATACATTTGTTTTTGAGGTTAAACATAGGTTAGGTAAACGTTAAATCAACTAAAACTGTTATTTGAAATTTAAAAAATGGATGGGGAAAAAATTCAACTTTTACCGATGAATCCAAGTCTTTAAATGTGCATATTGGGTCTTGTAATTTTAATTGAAGTCGTTAACTTGACTGATTGACAACGATTTGAGATTATGAATTTACCATAGAAGTACAAGTATTTATTAACAATTGAGTATTTTATCAGTATTTGTTTTTGCCACTGTCTTATTGTTCCAACATTCAACTCATTATTTTGGTTTAATGTATCACTATATACCCAAGCGAAAAATTTTTATTGCTATCAAGTAACGGAAAAAAATAATTATTAATAATAGTATTTTTTACAACCCATATTGGAGACTATAATGAAAATTAATGAATTAATATTTTTTATAATTTTTTAGTATTATCATTATTAAGTATAGAAACATCGAAAAAAGAAGTAACTAGAGTGGCTAGTAGTAAGTGAAAAGTAGTAACCCTTTAATGGTTAATTATCGGTATTTAATACTTGACTTTTAAGATTTATCGAAAACTAATATAGCTATTAATAACTTTTAATAATAGACCATTTTTATTCTTTCATATTTTATATCAGATGGAAAAAAATAATAATCTTTACGGGCACGATTGTACCGTTTGATCTTGCGAAAAAAAAAAATAGCCAAATGTAAGGATTAAAAAGTTTGAATAACAACTTGTGACGGACAATTGTGAACATCAAGACTAATTACTTGTCTCAAATCTAGACATTAAAAACTGTTTTTTTTTTCTTTTATTTTCGACTAATTACTAAAAATAATTATCACCATCTTATCGAATAAAATGATTTCTGTTCGGGTACAATCCTGTTAAGTTTCATCTCAGTGAATCATTGTTCTCTGCATTTAGCGAAGCTTACGTCAGTAATACAATTTAAAAAAAAAGACATTTGCCGTTAAAGTAAATGCATATATACTCGATTGTTTTAATTTTTCTTTTTATAAACCAATTGGTTGGTAAGGTAAAAACTCTCTGGTGCATAATACAAAATGACTTTAAACAAATTTTTTGAATCAAGTTAAAAATCAAAATAATTAAGTATTAAGTACGCTTCAAGAACTTACACTTGCACACCAGCAAGAGAAAATACAATAAATACATATTGACACAGTGCACTACTATCGTTTATACATTCATAATTCTGTATTTAATTTTCGTAATACCTTAAAAAAACTTATTTGATAATCTAATGCTAAATTTTTCAACAAATTGTTACTTTAGACGGTTAGTTTTAATTAATACATATATAATATGTGTGGTTCATTATTTAAAAACATTTTACTTGAAACATACAGTTCAAATATTTTCACTCAATATTTAAACTAAATATAAGTATGTACATAAAACTAATAGTAATAGAACTTAGCATATATACACAATAAAATGAAAGAAATAGTAAATATACAAAAGAATAGTAACAAGAGTGAGTACTTGGAGTAAGATTAAGTGATATATCATTCCTCATGCAATTTGTGTGTTGTAAATATTACATAAGTGTATCATACACGTCACAGCAGGATACAAACGCAACAGAAATACTAACGATGCAAACAAAAAAGTTGCAGGCAAATAAATTGTACAAAAGGGCTCATTGAAAAACGTTATATCTAAGGAATTTCTGTTCACCTATGATGTTACACTGCGAGATATTGTCGGTAGCCTTTTAATAATATTTAGTCCATGGGTTAGGCTGTTAAATAAACAAAGCAATTTTAATTCTCGTTACTGTTCGTCACTTACGTCATTTCATATGTTTCACTTATGTTTCATACGTCCTGTAACAACTAAAATATCTACTGATTCCCACCAGAATTACCCTTATTATTCTTTAATCAATGATATTGTGACGATAATGATGATGATGATGCGCATTCCCGTTATGTTGCAAATGATTGTTAGTGCATGTGCATTTGTTACTTGAAAGTTTTTCAATTAGTAAGCAACCAACCATTCGTACACCGATTATTGTATTATTAGTAATTTCAGATGTTTTCTGACACATCTAAGTGAAAGTGTTTAAGAGGGCAAATGACAAGATTCCATGGCTTTGGGCCATCACCTTCAAATAAAATGGCACAGTATAACGTGAAATCGACGATGAAAATGAAGAACACATGAAAGTTATAATGATAGTGGTGATCATAGCGCTTGAAGAAAAAAAAAAAAATACATGGCGTAATTTACCTTGAGGCTGATAAATGCGACCCTCGTGGCTGTTGTGTATATTAACAGGTCCTTGTTGATACATACCCTCAAATCCCTGATCCATACCAAGCATCTCCTAGGGATTGTATGACAGATATCAAAAAAACACAAAAATCTCAAAATAAACGGAACGAAAACGTATTCGCTAGTTTTTTGGGGATGTCTTCCTCATTTAAAAAACGAGAGATATACTTCTTAAACATTTTTCTCTCTATGGTTTCACGACTAGAGTCTCGTTTTTTTGGTTTTTTCAACTATCTAAGGATTACTTTTTGAGAAATCGACGTGGTTCATTTGGTGACAAAACTCGCAAATCTGGAATTTTTAGTATAGGATTTTAATGCGTTTGACGAGCCACATCGATTTCCAAAAAATACAGAAAAAAACACTAATTGTAAAATTTTTACTACACAAAAAACATAATAGACATGTATATGTATATAATCAAGCTCTACAAATGTAAATTAACATCGATATTGATACCTGGTTTGTCCAGCTCAAAGGAAAACAGGACAAAGTCGAGACGTTCCCATGCAGATAATAGATGAATTAAAAATAATACTTTGTACGCTATTTTGCTAATTCAGCTAAATAAGAAGATAAAATAAAAATTGCTCTTTCATTACGATAATAATGATACGTTTATTAAGGAATGGGCAGTGAAATATCGTATCTTGTTGATTTTCACTGGACATTCACAATTAAAAATGAAAAGCAAACACGATAATGATAAAAACTAGCTAAACATTGAAACTATCTTCAAGCAGGTAGGTATGTATGTAATGCGATGTAATATTTGTGACCATGCTCTTGTGGTAATTGACATATGATGATGTGTTGAATGAATTAAAAAAATATTAAAAAACCATAATTTTGAATGAAATGGCCTGCAAATGTTTTTCCCTCATTTGTAAGAGTGAGCTCATTGTAGTTTCTCTTTGTGCATCATCGATAATATACCGATTGCCCGTATGATAAAAGCTTGACTCAGGCTCGTACCAAAAAAAGACAACTCACCGAAAAGATAGCTTACGTGTTTAGCGAAATAAAAAAAACGTATCTGATATGCATGACTCGCTCGATTATTTTAATTGAACAATAATCAGTAAAGCTAGTCCGAGTGCGCGAGTTGTGGTTTATTTTTGCAAGGGCCCAATGGACTTAACTTTTTTCCTACAGGCCATCGATATAATTTTGCAAGGAAAAGGAAAAAAAAAAAAAAAAAAAAAAAAAGTATTAATCGTCACTTGTATGAACAATAGGACGTTTAAAGAACCGCTGACGAAACTGATTTTCTCACATGGAAAAAAATTCCTCTAGTCCACCGAAACGCGAGTTGTCGAGCCGCACCGGCTCTCCGCCAGTAGCTATCGACATACCTGTAGATCCGGACCCATAAAGTCTGCGTTATTCCATACATTGGTATCATCTCGTAGCAGCGAATTGGTCAACTCGACAGACAGGCGTTTCTTGTAGTCCTGCGGCTTGTCCTCGCTCATACGGAAGAGCACAGCAGCGGCATAAGTGGCTACGCCCTCGTTACGCGAGTGCAACAAATCGGTGAGGGGCGATGTTGCGCCCTCTTGCTCGATCATCTCTGCACCCTCCTTGTCCGCTGCGAGCTCGCAGAGCACTCCTGCTGCCACTCGCTGGATATTCTCGATCTCGTTGAATAACAGCTGAAACAAAAAGATACCGGCGGTGATTTAATCTTCGCGTGGTCATGGTTATCGGTGCTTTCGTTCAACGAAAGATCCATACCTGTACGAAGATCGGTATGACGTTTTGAGATCGTATGATGGCTCTGTTGTTGGATTCTCTAGCGAGAATGTGTAGCGCACCAACAGTGCCTTCGACAATTTCTTCCATGCGCACGCCGTCGGCGTAAGCTCCAATGGGAGGCTGAGCTCCTACCGAGTTCGCCACGGAGTTTCTTTGCTGTGATTAACAACAACAACGAATTCAACAATGAATAACTACTCACCAGAGACAGTATATTTTTTAATTATAAGGTAACACAAGTAACTCGTACCCTCTGAGTGTCTTGATATGCGCGCATGAAGAGCCGTATGAGATGATGAATAGCTCCGTGCTCCCTGAGCGGGGCATGGTTGGCCTGACAGAGAGCGAGATTTCGGATGAGGCCAATGACAGCCTTGACAAGGGGCCAGCGCGAGGGTGGCTGCAGCAGCTTCACGATCACCTGGATGCCGTAGTTGACGCGCACGGCATTTTGAGCCATCTCGGCCTCGGCATGACGCGATGTTAGATGGCGTAGGGCGCATACTGCTGGCTCGGTGATCTCCTCACGGTCGCCAGCGTTGACGATCGTGCGCACCAGCGAGTCCACTCCGCCCACTTGGTATACGGTCACCTGTAAAGTCGAAAGGACCGTAGTGTTTTTTTTCTCTCTCTCTTTTAGAATAAATCTGAGGTGTGTTTGCAGACCTTGTTGCGTTGGTTGTTGCAAGTCAAATTTGAAAGGATGCCGGCAGCACAGGTGACGACGTTGACGTCTGCGGAACTAAGTACCTGCACGAGGCTCTGGAGAAGGTTTTCAAGTCCGTCGACCTTGGTGCCAGCATCTGACAAATTTCTAAGGGTCCACAGACAATTCTGAACAAGTCTCTGGCTTGCGTTGCCCAAGTGCATGGCCAGGGCTTGCATGCCGCCAGCCTCGACGATTGCTGGCTTGTTGCTCGGACAAACCGACAGTACTGCGATTTAAAGGAGACGCATTAAATTTTAAAATCAAATGTCATTTGAAGTAAATCGACGTTAATGTCAATTGTTGCAGGAAGTAAAGACCTTTGAGTACTCTAGAGGTGGTCCAGAGTAGCTTTTCGTAGTCGTAGGTTCTCATGATGCGCACGAGCTCGGCTGGTCCCTGAGAGGCCAAGATGATGAGTTTGCTCTCTTGGTTGCCGTAAGCGAGAATCTGCAGGCAGTCGGTGACGATGGCCAAGAACTTGACGTTGTTGCGCTGCAAGAGGATGACCATCCGTTGCAAGCCTCCGGCCAGGCGCACGGCCATTTTCGAGCCGTCCTGGTGCAGGAGCAAGTTGTGCAGAGTCGTGATGGCGTAGAACAGGACCGACTCGATGTTAGAGCTCAAAAGCTTGACGAGGGCGGGAATTCCGCCGCTCTTGAATATGGCCAGGAGACCTTGTCTGTGGTAATCATCGTGAAATTAGCCATGAAAAGAAATTACATTTCTCGGTGGTTCAACATTCCTAAATATGACGGCATTCGTACCTGTGGTGCGACAAGTTATGCAGGGTGCCAACGGCAGCCTTGGTCGACTCGAGATCCTCGCTGTTGGAAATGGCACGGACGAGAGCCTCGACCATCTGGGCGTTGTTCATGATGGCGTGCCGGGAAGCTTCCTTCTTCGACAACTGGTGTACCATCATCGCGGCCTGGGATACAACGACCTGATCCTCGTCATTGAGCAACTTGATGAGCTCGGGAATGGCGCGAGTTGCCAGATCCGCGTCGTCCTGGTAGTTGATGAGGTTGACGACGGCGTGCTTGAGCATTTGACTGGGCTCGGCCAATCTCTGGACGGCCGTGGGCTGGGCCGGGTCAAACTGCGTCGACGGGATCTCGATGCCCTCCTCGAGGGTTTCCGGGTACATGGCCTCGCGGACGCGTTGGGTGCGCGTCGCGGTCAGCTGACGGTTCATCTCTGCGAATCGTCAACACGCGGTTAGCACTTTTCTCTTTTTTTTCTCTTTACCATACATTTATAGACAAATTGCATAATTAAAGAACGTATCTGAGAAATGACCAAATCTACATCAACCACCCAACCAGTATAGAATGAAATGAGATTTTTCTTCGTGGAAAAAGAAAAGGTATGTTCAAGGGTTACGGAGCAGGAAACATCCTATGGCCTTCTTTTGCCAATAACTTTAGAAAAATTACAGTATTCAGCTTAGTTGAGTTGGTTGAATAATTGATCAGTCATTTCTATGTCACAACTTTAACTTGACGTTTTGAAGGAGTTGCAGCACAAAATCAAAGGATTTGTATCAGCAAACAAAAATTTCCGAGACCTTGGTTTCATCGTTTAAATTAAATTAATTTTTATTTACTTAATTACTTTATTTTACTTATTTACTTTATTTATCATTTTCCCTCTTTCTCTCTAATAACTCAATTAAGATGTATTTGATCAAGCTTTTACTGTATGCAACATTATTTCTTAGCATAATAAATGAGTTATGAATCAATCAGTCTATCTATCTCTTTGCACGAAGTACACGTTTTAAATAAAAAATTAATAATTAAGCTAAGGTGTAGAATATTTTTGCCACAGTTTATACAAATTGTATCAAGAGGTTTCCAAATTTTTCTCATGTCACTCAAGACCAACACTATTGGATGAACAATCGTCGTGCTCAAGAGGATATCTTTATCCGACAAAAGGACAATGTAACCATCATTTGACCAAAGTTTGCGTAAAATTCATCAACGCGAGACGTGCGATCCTCTGGTAAAACGTACCGTCGACCTGATCCTGAGTGAAGCCTTGAGCGAAGCCCTGGTCCAAGTCGAACATGAGCTGGTCGCTCTCGAGCTCCTCATCCTCCTTGCCGGTGAGGGATGGGGCCTGGGTGGCGGCCCCGGAGTGGATGCCCGAGTCAACCATGTACGAGTTCTGCTGCCACATGAGGGTCTGCTCCTTGGCGGAGCACATGGGCACGTCAGGCGGGCCCTGCTGGTAGTTGCCGTGCGACACTGTACAATAAACGAGTCATTACTATGTATACATTCTCTCTCGACCATCAGATTGATCAGATGATTGTTCGAATATGCGTTAGCGACATCAACCGTTTGCGTGTTTGGTCGTGTTTTTTTTCGAAAAAAAAAAAAAAGGACTACTCACTCGGCCTCGACTGTTGGTGCTGGTAGCTCATAGTGTCCGGATTGATCCACACCTGCAAAATGACGGAACAGTCAGATAATGATGTGCCGCCGACTCTGCCGAGCGGATGGAAACGGATGAGTCACCCGATCGGGAGATATTGTCATGCGTTTCCATTTTTTTTTTTTTTTATTGTTTTGTGTACACACGCATTCATACATATGTAATAATGGTAAATAATGAATCTCACTGAAAGTATTTTTACTTTTATTTTTAAAAGAGAAAACCTCAATCGTTAGCATGAAAACAAAAAGGTGAAATTTCATGATATGATTACTCAAATGACAGAGTATTTGTTATTATTTAAACAAGTGGGAATACAGACGTACAAACATGTCTTCTGCATATCCGTAAATTGAATACTGACTATAATCATTGTAAGATCTGTGTAGGGAAGTTGACAATTACTTGGTGATTGTTTTCTATTTTTTTTTTTTTTTTACACTTTTACACTTTTACGTGCTGTTAACTTCAAATTTAGTTTATGTAATTAATAAATACGTAGTGTCAAAGTCTGCACTTTGTGGGTAAAACTTTTTGGCTGTCTTATTCGTACAGAGGAAACGTGGGAATTGAGTTCAACTGGTTGAGGAATCTTCCAATGCGCTCAAAGAAATTTTTGAAATTTAGTGTTCGGAACTTTTTCATTACGTTCAAAACTAGCTGAAACCTGACTCGATGGTCATTTTTAAAGAACCCGTGTTGATTCGAATGAAATTTTTGAAAAAACTTTAAAGAAGCTTTATGGTACTATTTTTTAGAAATTATGAAGCTGCAGTTGGGGATTCCAAAGTTCAGTTTGGCACCTCTACTTCATACATCGTGATAAGATTCGGTCGTTTAGTCGATAGTATGTAAAAAACTGTCGAAATTAGGTGGATTATACGGTAATGAGCTCTTGTGTTTTAGTCTTCTACCAAAGTCTTATGTTTATGACGATACTGGTAGCTGCATTTGAATTTCGGGTGGTAAAAAACCAATGAAAATTTTGAGAGATTTCACGTCACGATAATGACGTTGTCGCCTGTTTTTTCATGGCCACGCAAAACGACATTCTTAGGTTTTATCTGAATCAGCCTAATTTTTTCGATTGAATAAGAAATTAATAGAATTTCCGAATGGTCTCAACAAAAGTTTGATTGTTAAGTCACTACGAACATTATTGTACACTACTGTGGACAACGATGAATAAAGCATTTCAAATCGATCATCTTGTATATACGGCGCGTGAGGTCGTTGACTCGAGTTTTACCGTGGAAATACTTGATCTCGTGATAATGTCCCTAAACATACTTACAACTAGAAAAGTGATGAGTGTCTATAGAAATGTATTATAATATATAGCTTAACAATTTGGTTTTAAGGTTTCTAAGATGACGAACTTTCTCGTTTTTTTCTCTCTCTCTCTCTTTCATAGTGGAATCACCCGCCAATCCTCACCCCGAAGTAGTTATAATACAGAAACAAAAACTTCTCTCCTCGTCTACACGGTTAATGTGATGGTGGTTATTAAAAAAGTAATGTAAAGCCATATAAAGCTGGAATACTCGCTGGAATACAGTAAACTTTTACTATGCTCGTGACTTGGTTTATGTAAATTAAATACAACACAGTGTATCTAAAATTTATTGAAAATGTAAAATATCACTGTGCCAAATTTCATTGAAAATAATCCAGTAGTTAACGTGTACTATGTTTACGGTTAAACGTAAAATCCTTCGATAGTTATATTAAGGACGTTCGGTAGTGATTGAATTTTTCAACGAATTTTTCTGAAATTTTGACCAGACGTTTTTATTGTTGTTACAATAAACCAGTCAAAATTTAAAGAGGTTCCTCTGTTTCGTTTTCGAGATATTGAATTTCAAAGTTAAGTCATTTTAACACTGTCGCTTATGGGAGAACTGACTAAATCACAGTTTTAAGCAAATTGGGCCAGTGAATTTGGCCAATTTTTTTATATGTTACAGATAATGTTATTAATTTGATGTATACCAAGTTTTGCGACGATCGTCTGATTCGTTTATAAATAAAAAATTAAATAAAAGCTCGACCGAAACGCAACGGCAACGTCGCAAGTGGCGGGAAATTCAAAATGTTCCAGGATGTTGATCAGTAAATATCTCAATATTATTGTAGATATTTATGCATTCACGCATAAAATACAAGCTTACGTGTGTGCGTGAGTGTATGTACAGAACGCCCACCCCTTCCCATAAAAAACAATAAATGTTAATAACACGCTATTTATTTTTTTTTTTTAATTTCAAATTTATTATTTCTTCTTAAGATACAATTTTTTTGCACATTACAAAATCACATGCTCATAGTTTGAATCACTCATCTTAGAAATCATCCTACTTATCTGACATCCCATGCTGTATGAGACTTGTCAAGTCATTTAAAAATTCAAGTATTTTATTTACACTGGTAGCTCTTTTGATTAAAGGGCTTTGCCCATTTATTAGAAACGATCTTAAACCATCATTACCTTCCATAAATTTATCAACAATAATATTAAAATCTACTTTATTTTGACTTAGATTTTTAATCACTGTTTTGGGAATGATAGACGACATGGGGGAAAAAGTTGGCGAATACATTTTTTCATCAGAAATTCTTTGAATTTTCGCAAGAACATCTTTTACGGAAAACACGTTCGTTGAAATATCATCCCATGAAAGATATGTAGCGGTTAATTTTTCTAATAAATCAATATCAACTATTGCATTATGAGCGTTTTCAACAGACAATGTCAATAAGTCTTTTCCAAGATCTGAAAGCTTATGATTTTTCCTATTCGGAAAATGTAACAAATACTTACAGCTTTATCACAAAAACATTGATACACGAACGCTGTCGTAACCGACGCAGCACGCAGCAGACGAGCAGACAGTGTAGAGTGTGCAGAGACACCTGATGCGTGTACATGAACACTCACACATTTAAGACCCGTACGAAGTTGCCAAAAATTCATTCATCGCTGGTTTCCCCTCACCGCGCAAATGTTTCCCCCCGCTAACACTACCGAACGTCCTTAAATAAGAAATCAAGCGAAGCTTGATGGTTGTTTCGGATCAATCGAGCATATATTTGAAAGTGTGAAACATGTCAAAGTTTTTTCGTCTGGTGTGGCTAGTGTAAATTATTAAAAAATGCGTTCGAATGTAAATGACGAGCGTTATCATGTTCAAAAAGTTGTTGATTTGTTTTCGAAAAAGTGTGCGTCCTCTTCTGATCAGAAAAAATACTGAAATTGTTAACGTCAACTTCGTTATTTTTAAAATAAAGTTTTCGTTTTTGAAAAAAAAACATCTTTTGGTGCGCAGTAGTTTTGTTTACAACAATGGTTATACCTCGTATACTGAAAATTGTACACTTGCATGCATAATTGACCGTCCGTATTATTTAAAACATGGTTCGAAGAAACGAGAGCAAAATAATGACGCGTGCGGTAAGAGAATCTTTTTCTCTTAAGTAAGAGTAAGAGTAGTATATACCCAGCCAACCAGGTATACACTGTGGAACGAGATGGAAATCCCCGTTTTTGGAGCAGAGCAACGAGCGCGTAAAGCCCAACCATTAAAAAAGATCAGAGAACGAGGCTCAATGCAAGGGCTATATACAGCGCCTACAACGCCTCTCAAGCAAAGTATAATCGCAAAGGGCTGCCGCTGCCGCTGTGACGTATCTCCATACATGCATCTCACTTACTCGCGCTCTTTCGTATTTGAGTTGGTGCTCCATAGCAACGGAAGGAAAACATTTTTATGCGCACAAATGTAGGCAACAAAAGCTTGCTCCAGATCTTTTTATTTAAAAAAATTCTAGTTCAGCGTATCGGCCAAAAAATATGCTGAATCGGAAATTTATTTTTTCCAGTTTTGCCGAGGTACCTTCATAATTTTATTTACTATTAAAACAAAATACAAAGTTATTTCTTGTTTTTCGGCGTAGGTACAGGACAGCATCTATACAGCTGTTGCACGACGTAACCTCAAAAATGCATAAAATGTCGAAAGTACGGTTTTTTGCAATAGAAAAAAAAAACAAAAAAACAATGCTTTCCAAGGATAAAACTAAATCAGAAAGTTGTAGATAATAAAAAAAATTGTTTGAATAAGACTTGTTGGATTAGAATTAATAATGTATTTTATCTAAAAAATTCGAAAAACTCTGTAAAAAATTGCGATTTCTTTATTTTCGACAAAATTTTTTGAATTATTAAATCAATCACTGTATATTCAGTACAAAGGACACCGTTCATTGAGTAGAAAAAAGTTTTTTTTTTTTTTTTTTTTTCAATAAGAAACGATTAAAATCAATCAAATTCGTAAGAAAATTACGAAAAAAAGACCTTTTCAAAATAATGGCATCTAGCTTGGGCAGTGCCAAAGGATACATCAAAGGCTTACATTTTTTGTAAGTCACATAATACTATGACACAGTTAATTGTCGAAGCGTTTATTTTATATTTTTAATCGAAAAAAACGAAATAAAACTGTCACATTTTTAGGATTCCGTTTTTGCGATACAATTTAGTAGGTTAATAATACGTATACATTTTATTAATAGAGAAGCTCTTTTTCACACATAAAAAAAAAAAAAAAAAAAAACCCCATTTAAGGTAGCTCCCTTGTCTACTGTTCTAGTCAAGTAGGAGAGTTTCACTTATGTATGTGTCCTTATATAGTTACGTACATCAGTGTTGGTATTCTGCTACCGTCTGTCATTTATAACCATGAAGCTGATTTTCACGTCTTTCTTGGCAAACATCTTCGGAAAATGCCCCATTACCAGCATTTTAGATGACAGTATTAAGAACAGAGATTTTTCTACAAGTACATCAAAATTTGTCTGCTCAGGTTTTTTATTGTGAGTTGGAAAATGCCTGTAAAGCTAATATTTTTATGCTCTGCCATTTGATCTCGTGTTAAAAAGTTCAACTTTAAACTGAAATATCTCGAGATTTTGCTCCACTTGGGGTATAAACAAGGACACCATTGGATTCAG